TGGTGCTCGGTGTTCCGTGTTCAGTGTTTGGTGTTCGGAGTGCGGCACCCACTGCGGTTTTTGTTTGCCCACCAGATAGGAATCTGCATTACCCACCCTTCGAACTTTTGCCGGCCCACTCCACTCAGTCCACTCACTCCACTGTGCAGCTTAGCGCCGAAAGTTGCTTTCGCTCCCTCCCCGTCCCCGAAGTGCGAGGGAGCGGGACGGGAGATCGGGGAAGCCGAGGGAGAGAGTGAGAAGTGAGACGGTTACGCAGCGGACTCGAGTGGCTGGCACAGTGGTCCACGCCGAGGTAAAAGTGTCGCGATACCTGTGGATTGATGAATACTGTACAAAACTGGAAAGCAGTTTCAAGAAAAACGAACTTAATCTTAAAACATTCAGTATTACGTACAAATTCACTCAGAAATTACTTTCCACAGAATTACATTTTAGTAAATGAACATATAAAGCTATCATTTAGATTTTTCTCACAACCATAAACTGGTAATTCTTAAAAGATTTTCTTTGAATTTGTTTTGGGGACTTGTACATTTTTATGCTTCAATAATATTTGATCCTCCCAAAATGGTATTCATTTGCCCACTGTGCCAATGCGATAGGAAACGAGTAGAGCGAAAAAAATGAATAAATAAATAAAAGTGCTTTGGCTTCATTAGGCGATTAGCGCAGCTCAGAGGAATGGTGATCCTGTCGGCAGGACCCGGTTCTCGATGAGGATTCCGATTCCGATTCCGGTCGCCCTTTCACCCCCGCCTTCTGCTTTCCGCTTTTCCCTGCTTTTCCCTGCAGTTTGCTCACTTAATGCGCGCCTGCGCAGCAAGTCAAGTGCGAATCGTGTCAATCAGAACCAGTTGCCAGTTGCGGGATGGAAACCAGGATGAAGGACGAAGAACGAAGGACGAAGGACGAAGGACCCGGGACCGTTAAAAAATGTGTCGCCCGGCCCCGCCCTCTTCCCCGTTTAGCTTGATGTATTTTTTTTTTGACGAACTGACAGGCAAATGTCAGCGATTTACAAAACGTTTAAGCTCCCCCTTTTGTCCACTTCACTGCTCGTGAAACAACAAGCACACGGGCCAGTTTCCCGAATTTCCCTCCACTCGAGTCGAAAACTCGCTCATATTTGTTTTTCATAAGCCGGCAGCAGCAACAGCCGCTGGAAAAATGTAAATTTTCACCCAAATAGAAGAGGGACGATGGCACGCGTGTAATCGCCCGGAAGCGTTTCATTCGCATTCACATTCACATTCCCATTTTTTACTTTTATTGTTTTGTCGCGTCTAGAAGTCACCCCCTTTTTGTGGAGCGTGCAGCGTGCAGCGAGCAACTTGCAATGTGCCACCAGCAACAGCGCAACATTGCAACATCGCAGATGCATTGTAACCATTATTCCGCTTTACATGGGGTGGTGGCTCGCTTCGGCCCAAAAAGCTTCCAGTTGCATCATTAGTTGGCTGCGAATTTGCATGACTTGTGTGCGCCTTTTGACCTGCGGCAACAGACGGGGCACGTGGCACACAGAAGTGCACGGCATATGGCACAGGATATATGGAATATGGGAGGGAATATAGTATGGCATACGGCCAACTGTCACTCCGATCCGGCAAATTTGCCTCGTCATTCGCCGATCGCTCATCCTGCACTCCGTATTCCGTATTCCATATTCTGCCCACTCATCGTTACACCGCGAGAAACTAAAGTCGTTGAAGGCCTTTTAGTTCCGCCAGCTAACTTTTTGGTTTCGAATCAATCATCAGAAGTCGTACAATTTTCTCTCCGTGCAGCGCCCTTTTGACTTTCACACTCTGCGAACAGCGAACAGCCCACTTCACCGATCCGATGTGATTCCCATTCCTATTTCGATTCCGATTCCGATCGCTAAGCTAATTAGCGGACTTGCAAAAATTCACCTCGCCGCCGCTTCGATCCTCTGTACTTTTTAATCGCCAGCGGCAACAAAATGTTGCAACCCTTTCGATTCAGTTTCCGTTTTTTTTTGTTTAGCCTCGTTTTTTTTGGTCGCTGCTGTACGGATTGCAGTGGAAATTTTGTTTATCATTAACAGATTGCAGCAGCTCGCGCTGGAAAATGAATTATAATTATGCAGCAACCACCCTTGCCGGGATTTAAATATTAAATATATGCCACACGCGGCGAGCGGGGATTTCAATTTGGATGCCTATTGTTTGCATAATATTTGGCAATTATTGGAACACACTCACTGACAGTTCGGACTGGCATCCTCAGTTCAGTTCCTCGAACGGGAGTATCCTGCCATCCAGCCAGTATCCTGCCATCCGGATGCTATAGTAAAGGGACTTCTAAGCCGGCTTACCAGCTTTTTAGCGGGGGTTCTGCCTCTTCCCCCTGTTTGCGAGGATGTTCGAATTATTTTTTGTTTGTGGGGAGACTCCTTGCAGCTTGCCCTTCGCGAAAGAAAGTTTCTTGCCCCGAGGCCAGTGCGAAAATTCGGTGACTCCGAGCTGCGAGGCAGGGGCGTCAGGGGGTTAGAAGGGGCGCAAAAAGCAGAAAGGAAAAGGTTCCTTAGAATCCTTTTGGCCCGCGGCGCTGGCAGCGTCTTGTTTGTCAATCAACAACAAAACGAGTACGACAATCCGCGAATGCTGGCGAATGCGATGGCGAATGCATTGGCATTGGCATTGGCATCTGGCAAAATCTGGTCCTGCCCCCGAAGCCGAACTCTCTGGATCGAGGAGCCCGGAGCCCGGAGACCGAATCCTTTCAGCCGCAGCACTTCCTTTTTTCTGCGGCCAGCTGTTGATTAACTAACTGCATAATGAAGGAGCGGTGAAATCGAGGGAAGGGGAAGCCGAAACCGACAGAAATCGGGTTTTATTATTGTACTTATATTTACTTAAGTGGGTTTGAAGAGGTAGGGAGACATAAACTCAGTATTGATTCCTCAATTGGAGAGGAATTGAGGAAGCAACTTAAATATTTTTGAATATTTAAATGTTCTTTTGCCTTTAGTGTGAAATACCTTGAGTTGCCTGCTTGTAGTAACTTCCTTTGGCCACTTATCGAGTGTCTTTTCCGAATGTGAACCCTTTTTGGAAGCCTGTCAGCTGTGACCAGTGTGTTCACACCCTTCTGAAGACACAGAAGCCCCCATAACTGCTGCCCAACCATCCAACACATCCCATCCCCCATCCACACTCGATCCAAGTCTGCTCCCCCTTTCGGTGAGCATTTGTTTTTTATCACTTCTACAGGCAATTAATTAAATTTTTATCGATTAACCAAGTGACACGCAACGCGGAGGAAGTTGAAACGGAGGCGAAGACGGAAGCGGGCCAAGAAAATGTAAATTCGAGCCAAGTTAGGGAAAGGGTTAGGGGAAGGGCAAGAAAGAGGGGGCGTGACCGATGCCGACGACATTAGGAAATTGGTCTAACGATGCGGGTGAGCACAGCTGGCCAAGTCAGGCGGAGCAAGTGCACCCAGCAGGGGATGCACACTCCTCTCCAAATGAAAAGGCAGGGAAACCGAAGCAGAAACAGCCAGCGCTGTTTGAACAATAAAAATAATTCAATTATCTATAGCATCGCAGGCTAAATGGTCTACAAATTAGGGACATGCCCACAGAAATGTGCGATGCGATGACAGGTTGCAGGATCGGGGGATTAGGCGGGTTCCTTCTTCCGCAACAGTCGGAAGGTTTTCCTGCGGAAAACTCATGGTCTTGGGCACACATACATACATACCTTTGTGCCTGCCTGCACCGCACTCAAATCGAGTTACAGTGCCAAAAGAATGTGCGAGGGCGTCAAAGTGTTAACAAGTGTCATGTGCCGAGGATCAGAGCTGATGGCCCGAAGAGAACTGCCAGGAAAAGCAAGGATTGCTTAGTGGGAAAATAGCTAGATTTTATTACAAATTAATCCTAAACTTAAACCTAAAACTCACGAAGAGTTAATCAGTATTGCGGTTGCTAAATATGAATGCAATTTTAATATGCGCAAAACGATTTTCGGTTATCTTACTTAAGCTCAAAAGCTGTCAGACAAAAGCCAAAAACAGGGGATGATTTTGTGCCGTCTCTTTAGAACTTTCCTTAGCCTGAAAAGTAATTATATTAACTATTTTATATGTAATACTGAAAAGTAAAAAATGCGAAATTTTCAACTTGAATTTCGCTAGCATCATTAAATAACCAAGTGCGCAGCACAGATGAGACTATAGATAGGAGGTCCTAACTGTCTTCCTTCCTCCATCGCATCCACAGTTCTTCTATTCATATACATATCCCTGGAAACAAGAGAGTTGCCCAGCTGGTGGCTTGTATTTGTATTTGTACTTGTATCTGTATCTGTATCTGTATCCGAGTCCTGACGGAGACTCCTTCCTTTTCCTCTGATCCCGAGTCGTGGGGCGTGTCATTGTACCTGTCGGGTTTATAAGTCGGAATTCTCAATTTCCAACCTGCATCGCCGTTGTTTGTTTTGGTCGCCTGAAAAAGCAAAGCAAATCGCTTGGTCAAGCAATTGTGTAAATATGTATAAGATGTGAGCAGGTCGAAATGCAACCGGCACGAGCTACGAAATTAAGTGAGATGACGAAGGTGGCCGCAGATGTTTCTCATTCGTGAAGATTGTCCAGGATTAGACAGTTTGTGAAAAAGTAATAATAACGGTCTTACATAGTTCTGAAACATTTTTGAAAATGCTTAAATTCAATAAAAAAGTTTAAGGAAAGAGTTACAAAGTAAAACTAGTTGTCACAGGCTTTTTATAAAAATATTCTACGTTTTTGTGAACCATATTTCTATATATCCTTACATTTAATTATGGTCAAACACAACCAAAACCACCAGCAAAGCCATTTCTTTAAAGTAAACTCCCTTTCCCAAATATGAAAGCATCGCATTTGATTATAGTGCATTTATTTTAAAACAAAAAAATAGTTAGGTAGTTAACTTAAAATAGTAATAAATATTGGTCTAAAATTAAATAATAGAAAAAAAAGGTGGGTGTTCAAAAACTACATAACAGCAGCGTCAAAAAAAAGGAGTTATAAATAAGTGGATTAAATATTGGCTTAGGCTACGATCTACGAATTCTGTACAGTAAGTGGACAGGGTTTAGTTTTGAGGACTTAGGAACTAGTTAAGCGTCATAGTTAAGCGTTTTCCCCCCGTTTGTCAGCGTTGCTCGCTCTCCTCTCTTTTCTTCTCGATCTTCTCGATTCTCCTCCTCTTCCTGGGACTCAAGGATGTCAAGGCTGCAGGACCTCTTCTTAGACATAGATGGACGAGGGCAGGGCCAGTCCCACCTCGAAGTAGTTGCGCTCGTCGACCTTGAAGCGCTTGAGGGGCGACTCCTTGGCGACGGCCTCCTTGCGGCCCCTCTTCAACGTCTTCACCGGGGTCTCCAGGCAGAAGGTGTTGTCGCAGGGCGCCCGACTGGGGGCCACGGGGGTGGCCAGCTGGATAAGCATGTGGTGCGGGATCTTGGCCAGCGGCGAGGCCGGTTCCGGGGTGGCCATCGGGTGCTGCATGGGCAGCGGCACCAGGCCGAAGCTCAAGTCCGCCGCGGGATCGTCGCCGGGGGCGTAGGACGGGGACAGCACCTCCTGCGGGCAGTGGGACTCCATCTGCTGCTTGACCAGTGTGCGCCGGCGCAGATTGAAGGTGGATCTGCGGGGCTTCTTCTTGCTGCTGGCGTCCGCCTTGCAGGCCGAGTCCAGGATGGCGTCGATGAGGCGGTCCAGTGTCTGGTCGCCCATCTGCGTGGAGGCGGGCTGCGGCGTACTGGGCCGCACACCCTTCTTAACCGAAGTGGGCTCAGTCTCCTTTGCCATCTCCACATCCTTCTGCTCCTCCACATCCTTCTGCAGGGTGGCCACGAAGTCGTCGTCCAGCCGGCGCTTCCTCAGCTGGCCCAGTGCCGCTCCCGAACCGGCGATGTAGCGCGGCTGGCCGAGGAAGGGATCCAGAGGCGCCAAACCCCTGAGCGCCAAGTGCTGGCCGGTGGGCAGGCCGTTGGGGGAGTAGTCCTCCGCGAAGCGGGGCAGGGTGGTGGCGTACCGCACACTCTGCACCCGCTGGGGCGCCGCACTCCTGCCACTCCCTCCACTCCTGGCCACCGCCTCCGGGGTCACGTTGCGGATGTCGCTCAGAGGCGCCAGCACCAAGGGGCTGTTGCGCAGCCGCGAAACAGGAACGGGCGTGGAGGTGTAGCCCACGGAATCGGGAACGTTCTCCTTGTTGGCAATGGTGGCCCTCCGCTGGCGGCGCTGTCTCCTCTGGAGCCGCCTGGTCTGGTTCGACTGGCTGGGATGGTGGGCATCCGGAATGCGGCAATCCTGCGCGGGAATCTCGTTCAGGCGCTGCGCCGAGGCCGTCCACTTCAGCATTGCGTGTTCGTTTTCGGTTCTGACTGGTGTCGTGCTCAAAAAAAAAAGATGTGTAGCTCTAGACTCCGCTAGACTCTGCTGCTCTCGACCGCTCTCGCTGACAAACTGAAGCGGTACGGGGAGCGGGCTGCGTTTTATACCCGCCAGCGGTTTCCACCGGGTTAGGGGTTGTTGCGCAAGCGGCACCCCGCCGGGTGGAAGGACACTCCGCTCTCTCTCTCTCCGGGGCTCTCTCTTTAAAGGAATCCAGGAGGCGCATCTTCAGCTTTGAAATATCTGTGGGTGAGGAGCATCCGCAGATCACTTGAAATGCTTTGGAGATCTTAAAGTTTACGATCAATAAGTATCCCTTAATACTTAGCCAATAAGTGTCACTTAATTCGCGAGACTTCCCTGCGAGATTTTATCTCTTTAGAGCATATAAGTTAGGTATGTTATTAGAGAAATAAAAATTATTATCAATCTCCTTAGATCCTTAATCAACAATGTTGTTGACATTCGTAAAATATCCAGTTTGCATTTAAAGTCACTGGAATCTTTTGAATCCCTCTACGATTTGATATTATTGGGAATTGTTGCATTTGGTTTTTATTGCACAGTTTCCCACAGTTTGCAGTCCTCCGATCCACTGCACTCCACTCAGCCACTCATCCACAGCACCACCGCACGAAAATGACATCTAGATGTCTATCGGGCGAGCGCTGGGTTATTAAATTTGCTTTCATTCCCCTCAAGGAAGTCCGCTTCCTTTCTCCTTTCCTCCCCTCCGCCGATCCTCCCTCTTCTCCCCCTCATTTGAATGGACATTTAGGACAGCAACAGGCTGGAAAACGGAAAAGCGAAAAGCGAAAAGGAAGAAGGAAACCCAGTTTGGCCGGGCTAATTAGCTCATGCCAAGTTCGACTTCCTGGCCGACAGCTCTTCATCATTTTAGCCACTTGTCGTAGCTTGGTATCAGTATTAATTGCGGCTCTTTAGCGGCCGCAAGTGAAATTTGTATACTCGGCGTTTTTTAATTGAAAATGTTCGCCACTTCCGGAAGGAAGCATTAGAAAAACGTTACGAACTCGGAGGAAAGTCCTGTTTCGGGCGTCAGTTGTTACCCCAAAAGCGGGAAAGTTTTTAGAGCTACGTTCATTATCAAATTATCAAGTTCCTAATATGTTTTGCAAAGCTAATAGTTCGGGGGTAACGAATTTTGAACTAAGAAACCTAAACCCACAAAAACAAAACAATTTACTATGCTGAATTATTTTCTTCGTTGATCTTCTCATAGTCGCAGTCCAAAAAAAATGGAATATAAAATATGGAACCAATAAGCAGATATACTTTTGATGACAAGATCAACGATAACTGCCCACATGTGTGGCTCTTGACCAGCTGTGGATGAAGTGATCTACGAGATGCCCGTTGGCTGAGTGATCCTCAAGTGATCATCGAGCCGGGATCCTAAGATCCTAAGTGATGTTCAAGTGATCGGAGCTCGTCATCTTCGTCATCGGGACTCGGATCACTCAAAGTGTCCGTGACCAGCGAGTCTGGTAATCTGGAGATCTGATCTCGTTTCGGATGTCTTGCTTTTACCAATTCCTTCAATGGGACTCCCTTCCCTTTCCCTATTAATCTCTCTATTTGCGATCCTTCGATCGCTGAAAGATTTCCGCTAACGGGGATCCTATAGAGTATTTCGCACGTTATCCTTTCGTTTTTTGCGGTGAAAGTTGTTTGGTTTTGTAGGTTTTCTTTGTGACTATCTTTCAATCGGCTTTTATGCGCTCGCTCGGGATGGGAAAAGGGTGCAGGGGTTAGTTAATTGATTGCCTCGTTCCATCCACCAAAATGGCGAATTTCTCAACTTTTCAACTCTTTTCCCTTCGTTTACTTTGCGAAATCGTCTCGCGTTTTGCTTACTTTTTACCTCTTTTCCTTCGATTTGCCCTCGTTGTGTCCCTGAATCCTTGGATTCCTTTTTGTGGCGTTGAGTTATCGCTGTTTACATAGCCGCACAAAGGATTAAATGGGTTTTTGAGAGAGTTTCCTGCGCAAAGAAAGGATATATCGGCTCCTTGATTAATATGATATAACGAGCATCCTGCTAAACAGGGCGTATCCCGATTTGTCTTCGCTTGTAATTCTCTGACGAAATTACCATAATCCTCGCATTTTCTGTGGTTTACAAAGGAAAAAAGAGAGAAATAACAAATGGATAAAGAACTACACGAAAACCACTCAAATTCAATTTGAGTTTTTAGCATTTCGTGTGCGACGATTTTACGCTTAATTAACGAGCCCAAGGACCTTTGGGTTAAGGACTGCCCGAAGTCACGATCCAGTCCCGTACCGATTGCTCTGTATGCAAATTGCCCATGCCCATTTTTTACCACTCCGCCTCGCCCGGCCGCATCCTGCGTCCCTTTCCCCCGCCTGTCGCCTTCTCGCTCGCTCGCACGCTTGTTGCAGGGGAGAGCGCGTCGCCAAGAGCCACTTGACTTTCACTCGCACTCACTCAGGGATCAGGATCAGGATGCCGGGATCCTGAACCGAATTTGCATTGCTCAATGGCCTGTGGCTAAAGGCCCGTCACTTTGGCGCATAAACTTTGCGAATCCTTTTTTATAACTGTGCAGGATTTAAGACGGGTTAAAAAATCTGTAAATTACTAAAGCGAATGCGTAAAGTAATGTTTTAAAAATTTAATAAGACTTTATATATTTTTAGTTGCTGGTTAAATGTTAGATGCTACTTAAGAGTACTATTCAAATACTCTGTTTTTGTTGCTTAAAGAGTGTAGATAGAGCTGCCTTAAGCCACTTGAGTTTGAATTTAGCTGCTTCAACCTCTTCGATTGCCACGACCCCTTCGTCCCTTCGATCCCTTCGATCGCCTTTGCATATATAGTATGCCTATATGTATGCTTACATGCAGATCGGGCACTCGCACAGGACTCTACAGATAGGGCTGCCTTATTGTCGCTGCCTGTGATTAATGCGCCCGTGTTCGCATTGTTTGCAGAAATTTATCGACATTTGATTTGCTGTGCGCCGCCGCCAAAAATGTGATTCGAAAATGCTCAAAGTGTATCAAATGTTTGTCGCGCGGCTTTGTTTGCGTTTTGCATAATGGAGGGAAAGTGTTTGCGAAAGGGGGAAATTCAAATGGAAATGCTAGCGGGGAAAGCGGTGGCCGGCTTGCGACTTCATTAACGCATTGCAAAAAAAAAAGGTGGGAGATTTTTACGATTTAGAGCGTAACCCACAAAAAGTGAAACCATTAAATCATAAACGCACTGAAATGATTAATTGATTTCATAACTTTTTACGCTGGCATCTTTTTTTCGACTCGAGCAGGGAATGACTGTGCTGAATATAAAGGATAAATGGCCAAATGGCAATGGCAACAGCAATAGAAATTGCAATTGCAATAGCAATAACGGGCCCCTGGCAAATATCATGTTTATGCTCATAACTTTCCAACTCAAAAGTCGACCAACTGTCAACTGTCAAATACCAGACAATTTCGCAAACGAATCCTTAGCTCTTGGGGAAGTAAAGGGAATCTCAGGGAGGAGAGGAGTGGTGGGGGTATGCTCTCTATAAGACCGACGGCTCAGTCTCGATTTGTGACCCTGAAAAAGAAGAGGAGGAGGAGGCGAGCAAACTGGAACACACGAAAGGACACCCAAAGGATGTGTCTGAGGCAGACATCACAAGACAATGGATGCCGTAATGAAGAGCAGATACCGCTACAGATACAGATACGCTGAAGATCCTGATACACAGATACAGATACACAGATACAGATACAGACACACACAACTGCTACATCGAGCGAGCAAAAAGTAAATTACAACAAAGGATCGCTAAAGGAAAGGATGCGAAGTGGGCAAAAAATCAGAGGGTCGGGGGGCTAAAATTATTGCAAATAATTTAGAGCACATTTATTTGAGGGACTCGCAAAAAGGATCCGACTGCACATCCCTTTTCGGTTTGTTCGTTTGTCATTTGCCCAAAGCGAAACTCAGCAAGGATTCAGCAAGGATTCTGCGAGGAGCGAGGAGCAGACCTAAGAAGTAGATCTCCCAGCCCCTCGAACATAAATTTGCAACAATTAAAAACAAAGTTAATTAAAATTTATGTGCGACAGTTTCTGCACACTCGAGCAAAAGAAAGTGCCGATCGAGCCCATCCTTTTCCCTAATTGCTGGGAGTGTCCTGCGAACTGGCGAGGCATTCCTTCGCTTCAACAACCCACTTAAAAATAAGATAGGGACATGGCCCAGAAAGTGATATAAAGAAAGAAAGTGCCAATATCGCAAATAAAGATGTTTGGCCGCACATAAAAAATGGGCTGGTCAGGAGGCGATGACCACCGATGACCAATGGTTGACCTACACGGCGAACAAAGGATTTTATAGGACATCGATGGTCAGATTTAAGCACAATAGCTCTCTCCGCATACCAAAAGTCACTGTCATGACTGTTTTTATTAGGTTTCCTTGTCAGCTGGGCAAAGCAGTCTGTCTTGAATCCTTAAAGTAAATGTTAAACAATTTTTTGTAATATGCTAGAGGAAATCGCATTGTGGAAGTAGTTTTTAACCAAAAATAATCCGTTTTTCTGCCAAAAAAATTTAAATTGCCATCAGAATATATACATCGCTGAACTCGTAATATCAGGAATTTTATTACTGCCTGAAAATGTTTATTTTTTAATCATTTTATCAAAAAATTGTGATGGTAAGGGGTCACCTAACAAAAATGCAAAAAACCCACAGAAATTTTTTTTCATCAAAATCAACCGACAAGTGATTACAAACGTAAATTTATTGTTTTAATCCTTCAGTTGTGGCCTTTATTTTAGCCAAGTTGTGTAAGATAAATCGTACAGAAAATGGTCAGTTTTCAATCAATAATAAAGCGAAAAAGGCTTGTGGGCTCCTCGCACCCCCCGCCGTTCGCGAAGAAGCCTTTGGTGGGTTCCGATCGACGGCGCCTGCTTTGCATAGGAACCGCAATTGGCGCCTCTGGTTTTACGATCCAGCAGGGGGGTGAAGATCCTTGCGATCTGAGTTATAGTCGCCTGGC